GCCTGGAAATTGCCTGATTCACCTGGCATGTTTTTGGGGTCATTTTGGCTTTTGGCATGATGGCCTAGAAAACGCAAAATGCAAAAGTTAGGCCATCATCTCAAAATGACTTAGAAATGTCTTGACATGATCCTGGTGTGCTTTCTGGGGCATTTTGACATGGTGGCCTAACTTTTTCAAAATGGAATTTCTAGGCCACCAATTTTTTTTCCGCTCAGAAACTGCCTGATATTCATTAGGTGCGTTTTTTGAGCCATTTTTACATGGTGGCCTAACTTTTTCACGTTGAGTTTTCTAGGCCACAACGTTAAAATGACCTAAAACTGGCTTGACATGACCCCTAGTGTGATTCTAGGCCATTTTGACATGGTGGCCGAGAAAACTTGCAAAAGTTAGGCCATCATGTTGGAATGCCCTGGAAATCATACCGAATGACTATGAGACCAATACTAGGTCATTTCAACATGGTGACCTAACTTTTGTGAGTTCAGTTTTCTAGGCCACCAACTTTTTCGCCTAGAAATAACCTCAGATTCAATTGGTATGCTTTCCGAGCCATTTCAGCATGGTGGTCTAACTTTTTCATTTTGAGATTTCTAGGCCACTGTGGTAAAATTACCTAGAAATGGCCTAACATGACCTTGTTGAGTTTTCTAGGTCATTTTGAAGAGATGGCCTAACTTTTTCAAAATTTGGTTTTCTAGGCCACCACTTCGACATGACCGTAACTCGCTTGAAAACTATTCAAATTCAGTGAAAGTACCACCAAAAGACTTGTTACAGTAGGAGAAACATTTTTGACCTACTTAAGTTTCGGTGGCCTAGTTTTGGTTTTCTAGGCCACCAACTAGAAATGGCTATAACTCGCTTCAAAGTCAAGATTTTCGAGGTTTAAAAACGTTATCAGGAATTGTGGAATCGTTTGGTATATAATACGGTGGCCTATCTTTTTCAAACTTTAGTTTTCTAGGCCACCAGTTCAAAATGGCCGTAACTCTCATGAAAATCGTTCAAATTAAGTGAAAATACCACCAAACGACTTGTCAGGGTATGAGAAACATGTTAGACCTACTTAACTTTCGGTGGCCTAGTTTTGGTTTTCTAGGCCACCAGGCACAAATGGCTTCTAGTTGAGATTTTTGAGATTTGAAAAAAACCATTATAATCCTCGTCTCCTAAAAATGGCGTGTTCTCTAGGCCATTTTAACATGGTGACCGAACTTTTGCAAGTTGAGTTTTCTAGGCCACCACGTTAAAATGGCCTAGAAAACACGCTTCGAGCATGCTAGACTAATTTGTGGTAACTTTAACGTGATGGCCTAGAAAACCCGAATTGCGAAAAAGTTAGGCCATCACCTAGAAGTCGAAATGACCTACATTTTGGGCCGATTTTGAGACGTTTTGGCGCTTTTTCGTTTTTAAGCCTCAAATGGCTCGAAAATGTCTCAAAACCGGTTTAAAATAGCCTGAAATTCGGCTAAAAACGTCCAAATTGGCTCTGCAAACGATTTCTAGACCATTTCCAAGCCATTTTTCTCATTTTTCGACTCAAAAAATCGATTTTTCCACTCATTTTCCACTATTTTCTCACCTCAGTGTCACTCATTCTGACTTGTGTCCCAATTCTCGACTGAATTCCAATCGTCAAATCGTCCTTATAGATATCCGATAGCTGGGAGCGAAGAACGTAGCTGTATTTGTGATTGTCCACCGTTTCGACCATATTTCGAAGCGACTGAAAATATCAATTTTTATGCTGAGCAATCTAAAAAATGAGCAAAAAAAAACGGTGAAATTTGAAGATTTTCGGGTCAAAATTGGGCAATTTCTTCAATTTTTCGAGCCTAAAAATCTAGATTTTTTGAAAATTTTCTGGCTAAAAATCATCAAAAATTTTGATTCAAAATCGATGAAAATTGAATCTTTTAAGCTGAAAAAAAATCAATTTCCAAGTCGAAAATCTTGAATTTTAGGCTCCAAATCTCAAAAAATGAGCAAAAATCGGTGGTTTTGGGGTCAAAAACAATCAGAAATGCAATTTTAAGCTCGAAAAATTCACGAATTTTGACTCAATTTTTGCTAATTTATGGCTGAAAATGAGCTCAAAAATCTCGATTTTGGACTGAAAATTAGCAAAAAAACGGTGAAAATTGAAGATTTTGNAGGTAAAAAANATTCAGAATTTTTCATTTTTCAGCTTTCTTCCATTTTTTTAGCTCAATGATCGTCCATTGTGAGCTGAAAATCTCGAATTTTGGCTCAATTTTCTCCAATTTTGGCTCAATTTTCTCCATTTTCGGCCTATTTCTAGTCATTTTCACCTGCTGAAGGTATCTCTGATGCTGTTCAATGGTCTCTTCCTCCTTATTCAACTGCTCAATTTCCATTTTCAACTGGTCCATTCTCTCTTCCTCCTCCGTCGTTGCCATCTGTCGTTTTCCGTCTTTTACGTTCAACATGAAGTCGCCGCCTCTGCAAAAAATGGATTTTTTGAGATTTTGCAGGGGAAAAACGGGGTTTTTCGGGTAATTTTTGGCCAAAATGACCCATTTTAATGGTTTTTGAGTTGAAAATTCATGTTTTGGGCTCTAAAAATGCGATTTTCAATCAATTTCAGCCCATTTTCAGCTCCTTACTTCCACTGAATCATATTTTTGCTTCGTTTCTCTATCAATCCGATACCTTCCAGAACGTTTGTGATATCGTAAATTCGTCGTTTTTGTCGTACATTGAGAGCTTCGGCTGCCTGTAAAGCGATTTTTGGCGGGAAATTTGAATTTTTAAGTGATTTTTGACGCATTCTTAGCCTAAACCCCCTCTTACCGTATTCAAATCACACCGTCCGTACGGTGAGTACTGAATCATTTTGATAAATCGTTTTGCGAGAAGACCCAGCGACTTATCGGCACGAGTACCCATTTGGGTTGGTCCAAGTCTTCATCCTCGTCGAAATCTGCAAAAATCGATATTTTTGGAGGTTTTTAGCTGGAAAAACTGTAAAAAATGGACTTTTTTAGGTGTGGACACCTTTAAAAAACGAATTTTCAGATAAAAATTTTTTTGTCAACATTTTGGGGTTTTCATTGAATTCTGGACCAAAAATCAAGGTTTTAGCATCATAATCTGACTTCTGAGCAGCAAAATAAGCTGAAATTGGCTTTAAAATCAGTTCTTCCAGGTGAAAACAGCTGAAAATTCAAAAAATTCATTTTTTTTCAAATTTCAATTTCCCAAAGTCTCCGATTTCTCACCAAAATCAAAATCAATCTCATTCTCCAATCCGAGCAACAAATTGTTCTTGATCACCGTTTCTTTCGTCATTTGCAGAGCTTTTTGCAGATGCATTGTCGATCGGCTTCGATAGTCGAAATCGTCCATTGGCTCGAAGTTATCGTCCATTATTGCCTGAAAATTCGTGATTTTTGCGATTTTTCAGTCTAGAAACCAAGAAAAATGAGGGAAAATGGTCGGAAATGAAGGAAATTGGAGTTGCAAAAAAGTCGATAGATTTTTTTTTGAATTGCGCTCGCTGCGGAGAGAGTGTGTCAAGTGGAGAGACGCAGATGAAAGTCGAGTGCAGGAGAGCGCGATTGCTTGGGGTGAATGGCGGGAAGCGCGAGAATTTGAAACCGAAAAAAAGAACTTTGGCAAAAAAGGTTCAAAAACATGTTTAACTCCGAGTTTTCGAGCCGTAAAAAATTTATCAAGGTCATTCTGAAATCTAGAAAAAATTTGTAAATAAAATGAAAGTTCTCCAGTGCAGTAAAACCGCTCAAAATACATTTTTTAGTCTGGTGGCCTACAAAACCGAAACTCGGCCAGCATGTCACGATTAGTTTAAAGCTATTTATTCAGAGAAAATTGCATATGTACAATATAATACAACCCGATACAAAAAAATTTTTCTAACATTTTTTTTCTAAAAAAATTAATTTTTAGTCCCAATTAATACATAATCTGAGAAGCAAAATACTCAAATTTTCAATCAATTATCAACGACTTCTGTGAAATGCGACTTGACAGTTCCCAATCCCAATAGCTCTTTGGAGATTTTCTGGATTTCGAATTTTTTGACTTTTCCAGAAATTGTTAGTGGAAATTCGGATTCTTTCTTGATTAGGACGTATTTGGGGACCTTGTAGTGAGCCATCTGGAACAAATTAATTAGAAAAAATTTAAAAAAATTAAAAAAACATTTTTTTTTGAAATTTTTTTTCAAATTTTCCAGAAAAAATTCCAGAACTCACTCCATGTTTGCAGTCTTGGATAATTTTCTCCGGCGTAATTTTTCCTTCATCCTCCACACGAAGACGTACCCATGCGCAGATATTCTCACCGTAACGGTCATCTGGAACACCGACGACCTGAAAACAAGGAAATTTCAGATTTTTGGAAAAATAATTTTCAAAAAAAGAATGTCATGATTATACTCATTTTGTTGGCCTTGTTTTTCTGAGTCTAAAAACCTAAAATCCATAAAATTTGAGTCGAAATGAGCTGAGATAAGGTGGATTTTTGTAAAAAATGAACTTTGGATTTTTTGAAAAATTTCAATAAAATATTACTTTGCCAACCGATTTTTGTGGTTTTTGGCTTAAAATTTCTGGAATTTTTTGAATTTTGAATATATTTATGCATCTAAAATGTTTAGGAAAAATTTCCAGTCATTTTAAGCCAAAAATCACGAAAATCGGTTGAAAACAAACCGAGTTATATATTTTAGCCCATAACTTTCTTAATTTTCATCCGATTTTTATGATTTCAAGCTTGAAATGTCTGAAAATTTTCAAGTTTCCGAATGAACGTATTTTTCAAATTGTTTGTTAAAAAATTCCAGACATTTTAAGCCAAAAAACCAAGAAATCGGTTGGAAATGGACCAAGTTATGGAGTTTTACCTATAACTTGGCTCATTTTCAACCGATTTTCTTGATTTTTTGCTTTAAACGTTTGGATTTGTTCACATTTTCAAATAAGATATTTGGCAAAACCACAGAAAAGTTTTTTTGAGACATTTCGAACTCAAAATTAAGAAAACCGGGTAAAAATGGACCAAGTTACGACTTTATGAAAATTATTCAAATCTTCATAACTTTCTTCATTTTTAACCTTTCATGATCTTAGGCTCAAAATGTCTGTCATTTTTTTGAATCCTCAATAACCAATTTTAGAAAGGTTCAGAAAAAAATTACTGACATTTTCAGCCAAAAATCGTGAAAATCGGTTCAAATTGAGCCAAGTTATGGGATTTTGACCATAATTTGGCTGATTTCAAACCGATTTTCGTCGTGTTTGACTCAAAATAGTTGGTTTTATATACGTTTCGAAATACATTTCATTCACAAAAATTTGGGAAAAATTTCCACACATTTTAAGCCAAAAATCATGAAAATCGTTTCAATTTGAGATTTTGGGATTTTGACCATAACTTGGCTGATTTTCATCCTATATTCATGATTTCAGGCGTAAAATGTCTGGAATTTTTTGAATTTTAAATATTTATGCATTTTAAGTGTTTAGGAAACATTTTCAGACATTTTGAGCCAAAAAACATAGAAATCGGTTCGAAATGGACCAAGTTATGGAGTTTCGTTCATAACTTTCTTAATCTTCAACCGATTTTCATGGTTTTTGGCTTTAAAAGATTGGATTTGTTCACAAAATTTCAAAAAAGATATTTCACAAAACCAGAGAAAAATTTTTTCGAGTCATTTCGAGCTCAAAATCAAGAGAATCGGGTGAAAATGGACCAAGTTACGACTTTATGAAATGTTTCAAATCTTCATAACTTTCTTCATTTTCAACCGTTTTTTATGATTTTAGGCTCAAAGTGTCTGGAATCTCTCCCTCAACTTTTATGAAATACTTTCAATGTGAAACTTACATGAGCATCAGCGACATAATCCAATTTATGTAGGAACTGCTCAACTTCAGTTGGATACACATTCTCTCCTCCTTTCACAATCATATCCCTAGTTCTTCCGACAATATTGATAGTCCCATCCTCGTTCATCACAGCTGTATCTCCTGATTTGTACCATCTGTCTCTAGTGATCGCCAGATTCGTCTTATCCTGATCCGCCCAGTATCCCAACATTGTCGAGTATCCGCGGGACCATAATTCTCCTTTTGCACCTGTTGGAACTGGAACACCGTACTCATCGACTATGGCAATTTCTTGATGTGGCATCACGGATCCAACTGATTTGATACGTTCGAATGGGTCGACGTGCAGTTCCGACATTGTCACCAGGGGACTTCTGAAAATCAAATGTTCGAAAAATTGCGCGTTTTTATTATCGTCAACTTTAAGTTCATATTTCTCGCTTTCAGTGGGAGATATTAAAAAATTGTCAACTGACAAAACGTTTATCATAATATCAACTATATTTTATCAGTTGATCACTGTTTGATATCTCTCATAGGAACCGGGATAATTGAGCTCAAACCTGACGGTACCGCATTTGCACATTGTAGCTCGTTTGCTCTTTCTGTCAACTTTGATCTAATTTATCTTGATTCTCGTAAGAGATATCAAAAAGTTTACAACTAATAAATTTTTTATCATATTATCAGCTATATTTTATCAGTTGACAGTATTTCAATATCTGTTACAGTAATCGAGATAAATTGCGCCAAACTTGACAGTGCCGCTTTCCACAGTCGAGCGAGTTTGCAGCAGGTTAACTTTGACTCCATTTATCTCAGCTCCTGTGAGAGGTATCTAAAAGTGGTTAACTAACAAAATTTTTATCATAATATCAGCTATATTTTATCAGTTGACAGAGTTTTGATATCTGTTACAGTAACCGAGAAAATATGATTTGTACCAAAGTTTGATTTGAGCAAAAGTGAGTCAAATTGGAGAGGAAATTTTCAAGTACCCGTAACTTGCCTAGTTTTTGACCAATCTCAATAAATTATAGCTCCAAATGTTTGGTATTTTTTCAAATTAAAAAAATAATAATTTCTGAAAACTCTCAAATAAAAAATCCTGACATTTTAAGCCAAAAATAATGAATTTTTCCAAAACTTCGAGCTTTCATAACTTTGCTCATTTTTGCCCAATTTTTATAATTTTTGGCTCAAAATCTCACGAAAAAAATTCCTTACGTTTCAGTAGATCCATAAATGACAGCAAAGTCAGTCATCCTCATTTCCTTGACCATTTTCTCACAAAGCGCCAACGGACACGGAGCCCCTCCAATGACTCCACCACGGAGCGATGAAATATCGTATTTTTTGATAAGGGGACTCTTCAAAACATCGATAAACATTGTTGGTGTTCCAAACATTGTAGTGCATTTCTCATTTTGAATCGCTTCGAAAATATCTGGGACATGGTAGGACTTCGAGGGGAAAATGACAGTTTGTCCGTGATTGACTGCATTTATCACACCAACTGCGCAACCGAAACAATGATATAGGGGATTTGGAATACAGATACGGTGGTCGTCACGGTCCCAACCAAGACGGATTCCTGAAATTAGAAATTGGATCATTTTAATCTAAAAATCGTTGAATTCGGATAAAAATTCCATAACTTGGTTCATTTTCCATCGATTTTCCTGATTTTTGGATTAAAATTTCTGGAAGGTTTTTCCAAAACTCTGAAAAAAAAATTATATTCAAAATTCCCGAACATTCCAGACATTTTAAGCTAAAAATCATTAAAAACAAATAAAAATGAAGAAAGTTACTGGAAAAATTCCACAACTTGCCTCAAATTGAACCGATTTTCATGATTTTTGGCTTGAAATGTCTGAATTTTTTTTTCACGGAGTTTTAAAAATATTTTCATCTAAAACCTTAAAGAATTTCAAACATTTCAAGCTAAAATTCATAAAAATCGGATATATATGAAGAAAGTTATGAAGATTTGAAAATTTCATAAAATCGTAACTCGGCTCATTTCCATTGGATTTTCATGATATTTGGCTTGAAATGTCTGAATTTTTTTGAATTTTGATTTAAAATGTTTTTTAAAACTCTAAGAGCAAATTCCAGGGAATTTGAGCCAAAAGTGTTGTAAATCGGATGAAAATGAAGATAATTACGAAGGAGATTGTAACTTGGTTAGTTTTCAACTGACTTCCATGATTTTTGACTTAAAATGATTGAAATTTTGTTCGCGGGATTTTGAAAATAGTGTCATCTAAAAACTTGAAAATATTCAAATTTTTTAAAGCTAAAAATCTTGAAAATCGGGCCAAAATGAAGAAAGTTATGAGGATCTGAAAATTTCATACATCGCAACTTGGCTAGTTTTCAGCCGATTTTTATGATTTTTAGCTTAAAATGTCTGGAAATTGATTTTGCTAATTTCTCAAATACGTTTATCAAAAAGTGGCTAAAATTCCAGAGTGTTTGACCTAGAAATCATGAAAATCGAATGAAAAGTAGTCGAGTTATGGTCAAAGTACCATAACTTGGTTCATCTTCCACCGATTTCCAATATTTTTGGTTCAAAACGTCTGGAAATTTCATAGCTATGATCATTGAAAAATTGGAAAATTTCCAGACACTTCAAGCTAAGAATCATAAGAATCGGATGAAAATGAAGAAAGTTATGGGAAAACTCCATAATTTGATTCATTTTTAACCAATTTTTAATGTTTTTTTACTTAAAATGTCTGGAATTTTTTCCGGAAAAGTTTGAAAATATTTTCATCCGAATATTTCAAGAATTTCATACATTTTAAGCAAAAAATATAAAAAATCGATTGAAAATTAGCCAACTTACACCTTTTCCAAAATTTCAAACCCTCATAAATAGGCAAATTTTCAACCGATTTTGATGATTTCTGAACCAAAATTTAGCCAATTTTCTCAAAATTTTAACAATTAGAAACGCACCAGCAAAATAGGCATTATTATTCAATCCAAAATGAGTCAAAGTGGCTCCTTTTGGATGTCCAGTTGTTCCAGAAGTGAATTGCATGTTCACTGGCTCATCTGGTCTCAACTTTCGGTCCATTTCCTCCAATTTGGCTCTTTCTTCAGTTCCAGCAGCATTCATTAGGTCCGAATAAACCCATGCACCATGTACTGGAACATCATCTCCAAACAAGACAATATGACGGAGTTCTGGGATATCATGAGACTTGATATGACCCACTCCTGGCTTTCCACGACGCATTTCTGGCATTGCCTGAAAAGTTTTTGATGGATTTTTTGGTAGATTTGAATTTGGCGGGTCTTGAGGATTCAAAAAATATAGATTTCATGAAAATTGAACCAGTATTAATTTTCGAAATTTTCAAAAGTTTGTAACTTTGTTCATTTTTACCCAATTTGAATGATATTTAGCTTGAAATGCAGAACATTTTTCGAGTTTACTGAAATGTAAATTTCAAATTGATAGGAAACGAAATTCTACCAAAAAAACTTATTTGAACCCCGCAATATGCCAAAAATTACAAAAAAAATTTTCCGAAACATATAAAGCATCAAAACTTTTTTCATTTTCAGCCAATTTGAAGAATCTTTATCTAGAAATGCTGAAAATTTTTTGAATTTCTCAAAAATATAAATTTCGTCAATATTGGGAAATTCATCTCAACTGAAATGAAAATTCATCTCCACTGAAATGTGCTAAAAATCAAAAAAAAAAAAATTCTGTCAAAAATTAAAAACTTCATAACTTGGTTCATTTTTAACCGACTTTTATGTTTTTTAGCTTAAAATGTTGGAAATTTTCTGAACTTGACAAAAATATAAGTTTTCTACAATATTGCATCAATATTTCTTTATGAAAGTTTACCTCAATTGAAATATGCTGAAAATTCCAAAAAAAAAGTTTATTTCGAAAAATTTAAAGCTTCATAACTTTTTCAATTTTCAACAGATTTGAGTGATTTTTAGCTTGAAATGTTGGAAATTTGATCTATTTCCAAAAGATTAACATTTTTCGATGCTATAACCCAATTAGAGTCCCTCAAACCCACCTCAATCAAAGTGTGCACATAATTGCTGTGCTTATGTCTCTTTGGTGCGAACAAAACCTTCATTCCAGTTTTTCTCATGACGAAACGAAGTTCTTCATGAAGATAATGTGGATTTACGTTGACTTGAATCACTCCGGCAAATGCACAGGCATACTGTAGAACCACCCATTCATAGTAGTTCGGTCCCCATACTCCAACACGATCTCCCTTCTCAAGACCCAGTGTGTACAGGGAGGCGGCCATTTGACGGACCTGGAAATAGTAAAATTGTAGAATAAGTGATATTATTAGAAATTTGGAAAATTCTTAAAATTTTGAGCGAAAAATAATAGAAATCGGAGGAAAACGAAGAAAATTACGAAGTTTTGAAAACTTCCTGAAACTGTAACTTGGTTTGTTTTGAACCGATCTTTATGATCTTTGGCTTAAAATGTCTGGAATTGTCTCCAAAATTTTTTGAATACACTCAAAAAATTTTTTGAGAACAAATTCCAAACATTTCAAGCTAAAAATCACAAAAATCAAATAAAAATTAAGGAAGTTATAGTCCAAAATCCATAATTCAGTTCATTTTCAACCGATTTTTATGATTTTTGGCTTGAAATGACTGTAATTCTTTCCACAATTTGGGAATAGTTCCAGACATTTTGAGCTGAAAATCACAAAAATCGAATGAAAATTGAGAAAGTTATGAAAGTTTGAAAATTTCATGAAATCGTAACTTTGTTTATTTTCAACCGATTTTTCTGATTTTTGACTTAAAATATCTCGAATTTTTTTTGCAACATTTTGTAAATACGTTCAAAAAAATCAAACAAAAATTCCAGTCATTTCAAGCCTGAAACCATGGAAGTCGGTTGAAAATGAAGCAAGTTATGAGCGAAATTTGATAACTCCGTTCATTTTCAACCAATTTTCATGATTTTTGTCTTAAAATGTTTAGCAAAAAATGACTCACATCATGATAAAACTCCTCATAAGTCTTTCTCAATGGATACTTCAAAAAAGCACAGAATTCCTTGTCTGGAACTCTTTCAGTCGTATTACGAAGCGTTTGTCCGAGTGTTTCGTTTCTCAATGGAATATTTGAAGTTCCATGGATATATGAATTTGTGTGTTGACGATGAACAGATGGATGAGTCAAATGGTGAGAATCCGTGGTTGGAATTGAAGACGTGGATGGATGAGGATGACTACTGGTGAGCACATGAGCCAGACGGCGGGACATTTGAAAGGGACGCATTTCTCTGAAAAATTTCAAGAATTTTGAGAAATTTGAGCTCATATGAGATAAGTAATAAAAGTAATAAAAATACTGTAAATTCAATGAATTTCAAGTTTTAAAAAATTTGATTTCGAAAAAAAAATTTTTTTCAAAAATTGTTCATATTTATACTCATTCGAACCGGCTTAACTTGCAGATTTTGAAATTTTAAGTTTCAAAAAATTTGGATAAAAATTACAAAAGTTAGAGAAGAATTTCTCCGGCTAGCTCCAACTCCAGAGGCTCAGTCAAGTCAGTGAAGACTCTACACTTCACTGGCTCTCCTTTTATACCCATCTCATTATAATTCCGCCCTAAGCCCCTCCCACTTTATGCCCCGCCCCTCTTTTGTTGAATTGATCGTTCGTTCAATGTGTCTCTCTCTCTCACGTGTCCTCCACAGAGGGAAAAGCGACAAACAACTGGGAGGGAAGGGGGTGTCAAAGAACGATCAACACAAAGAGAAAATCTACCGTATCTTGGCTGGAAATCGCTCAATTTTTATGAAATCTATATTTTCAGAATCAGCAAGAAATGGGCTTCAAAATGAAAATAAATACAGTACCGGTAAATGAGATATACAAAAACTGACTTGTCAGTTGATTTTAAGCCAAGCCATTTCTACTTTCTAAAAAAACCGGTGACTTTCAGGAATTGGCAAATAGCTCATAAGAAATTCCGTGAATGCAAAGTGTTTAATATACCGTAAAACCTGTAATAGAAGGGCCCTCCAACTTCCAACTTTGAGCCCATAAATCTCGATTCCTATGAAAGATATCAACAAGTGATCAACTGATAAATTTTGTTTATCATGATATCACCAATATTTTATTAGTTGAAACGTTTTTGATATCTCCTACAGTAACCGAGATAAATGGGCTCAAAGTTGACAGTGTGGGGGCCCTTGTATTACAGGTTTTACGGTATGTCTGTTTTACATCCTTTGTTATTTTCAAAGTGATCCGAAACTTGACAGCCAAGCTCCAGAGTTTCTTAGCAACGTTACAAAAAAGTGGTTAACTTTTAAATTTTTGAATACGGGTCCTAAAACTACAGTAATCTTTATCAAATCAAAACGGAAAAAAAATGAATTCGACAACTACAGTAATCCTGTTTTATTCAATTTTGAACAGTTACCGTAATCACTCTTATGGACGGCAACCCAAACCGGCAACTTCGAGTCCATACATCTTATTTCTGGTGAAAGATATTAAAAAATGTTAAGCAGGCGAAATGTGTCTCATCACATCACCAATATTTTATCAGCTTGCACATTTTCGATATATTTCACAGGAACCGAGATAACTAACAAGCTCAAAGTTGACGGTTTGGGTGGTTCTCTATTGAGGTGTTTACTGGGCTCTTTTCTAGTTTAGAGGTCCCAAAAAAATTTAGAGGTCCGAAAAAAAATTAGAGGTCCCAAAATAAAATAGAGGTCCCAAAAAAATAGAGGTCCCAAAATAAAATAGAGGTCCCAAAAAAAATTAGAGGTCCCAAAAAAGTTTAGAGGTCCCAAGAAAAAATAGAGGTCCAAAATACGAAAAACGCGCAGATGTTGGAATAATGTACTAGTATTTGAACTGTGCGAGTAGTTTGAGTTTTAGGGTCTTATAGGATGACATGACTACTCCTAACAATTTTAGCTCCAATTCTCTCGCATCGAACCCCATTTACATATGAGGAAAATTTGGGCAATACAGTAATCACTCCGTGATTATGCTGTTTCTCAGGCTTAGATAATTGTCAGAAAATATGCATTCCTAAGCCTATTAGAAGTATAAAATATATCATCAACAATTATTTTGCTATAAGACCTCAAAACTTTAAATTCTTACACAATTCAAATGTTAGTACATATTCCGGTATTTGTGCATTTTTAAGTTTTGGACCACTATTTTTTCTTGGGACCTCTAAACTTTTTTGGGACCTCTAATTTTTTTTAGGACCTCTATTCTTTTTTGGGACCTCTAAACTAGAAAAGAGCCGTTTACGGTATCTCGGTCCCTAGCAATAATACAAAAAAGTGCTGAAAAAAGTATAAAATTGAATTCCACTCATTTTACTAGTTAACCAATTTTCAGTGACTCTCCAATTTAACGAGATTTTGAAATCTGATTTCAAAAAAAAATCTGAAAAAAAGCATGAAAACCTTCTATGGTAAAATCTGAAACGCATTGAAAAACAATTTTTGAACCATTTCTTCGAACAAAGACACCAAAGAATATTCGCCTTCTCTTTTCTTAGTACACCCGAAAACGTTTCAAAGAACGATCAACATGTGAGAAGGGGAGAATGAAAGCGATTAGAAATTGATGGTGGTGTTGAGCAGAGAACACGTTGGGGAATTCATTGGTCAGATGGAGGAGAAGAGGAGGTCACATGTGTGTATATTTGTTTGTAGAAAAGCAACAAAAAAAAATGTGATAGTGCTTTGGATTGGTACCAAAAATATTTAGTGTAAATAGTTCAGAAAACAAGAAAATTGTATTTTTTTTGCAAAAAAAAAAGAGTCAACAGTTTTTTGGTCCATTTTTTGTTTTTTTTTCAAAGCTTATTTGAATTTACAGGATTTTTCTCGATATTCGGAATTTTCAGATTTCTATATTCGTGAAAAACTGGAATCCTGAATTTTAAAGGAGGCCAGACACGAAAGTCTACGGAGTTTTCTTGGAGCGAGAGTATGTATTCTGACGGAAAATCGTGCGATTGCGACCAATGCGCGCTACTTGACGAGCATTTATTTTTTAGAATACACTAGATTTCTTCACTGTTTTGCAATTACTCCCGACTTTTTCCAGTTATTCGGCCATTCTAGGATGTCGCCGCATGAAAAAAGAAAAAAAAAACGAAAACGCACAAATGGGAATCGAACCCGCGACGCGCGACTGATAGACAAGCGCGCTCACCTTTACACCACATAGCGCTTGTCGGCTTATGTCTCTAAAACGATTATGAAACGAGGAGTGGGCGCCGCTTGGAAGAACGGACGCGTTATAGCTCGTACAGTAACATTGAGTCATGGTTTTGTGTTCATTGTTATTTTCTGACTGTACTGTTGCATATATAAAAAAAATAGAATTTTGAAATTTTTCATGTCTGGCCTCCTTTAAAACACTTCCAAAAAGATTCTTTCTCAAAAACGTGGTTTTAAGATTTTCAAGGAAAACACTGTAAACTGAAAAAATGATGACTTATGATTTTTCGATGTTGCCCCACAGACATCTCTTATTACTTTGTTATTATTTTTCAAGTTTTTTTTTTGAAAATCAGCTGTTTGAAAAATATTGGTTTCAAGTTTCAAAGGCTGAACATTTTCCGACAAAAATAACAGACGTCATGGATCAAAAAACTTTCCTTTTTTCATTTTTGAACTCTTTGGATATCTAAAAATCGTATAGAGCAAACTTTTCTCTCATTATGTGATATTAGAAATTTCAAGATTTTGATTTTCAGATTTCCCATCCTTAAAGTTGTAATTATCAGAAAGAATCATCGGAAACGAACCATTTTAAGCCGAGTTATAGCCTATTTTGTTGCAGAAAGAGGCAGACAGTTTGGGTGTCTCGCTGTCTGCGCTCTCCTCGTTCCCCCACTCTCTCTCCCCGAAATCTTGAAAAAGGCGTTATTAATCTCAAAATAGGCCTGTTTTCATGAAATTTTGGCTGTCCGATGTTACATTTTGCGTCAAACTATTTTCTACAAAGTTCAACCTTTGCAGAGATTCCAAAGTTACACAAATTATACCTTTCTTAGTTTGGAAACTTTAAATTCCACTGATTTCCCATATTATCCAAAAAAAAATCATCGGAAACGGACCATTTCAAGCCGAGTTGTAGCTTATTTTATTCAAAAGAGACGCAGACAGTTAGAGTGTCTCGCTGTCTGCGCCCTCCTTGTTTCCACCACTGTATCGCCCTGAAATCTTTAAAGAAGCGTAACTAGGCTCAAAATAGCCCGATTTTTATAACATTTTGACTGTTTCATTTGAAAATTTTAGCTGAGTCTACCTATAAAACAAAATATTTTTTTTTAGGTGGGGGGACATGAAAAAAAGAATATTCTCGAAATTTCGTTCAAAGATGCCCCTCGAGGAGTTGAACTTGTGAGGGCGATGATTGAGGGTGCGGCGCCGCTACCGACTGAGCCACGCGGGCAAAGAGAAAGCGCACGCCCGTTTGCATACATAAAGGCGAGGACGACAGCTGTACGCAGAGTGGCATTAAGCGTTGTACACCGTCACGGTAGAATGCATACTCTAGCTACAAAAAAACTACGAAAAATCTCCTGTCCCCCCACCTTTAAGTGCCTCCAAGCCATTTGTCGCGGCAGCAGAGGTTCTACTGCACGACCTCAAATCCAACAATACTAGAGCACATCTAGAATGACACAAATAGTCTAATGACACAAATATTTGGCGTGATCACTTCCTTATCACCATATCAGATCTAGAGCATAATCGTGGATATGCCGAGGAGATGCTATAAAAGGAAGCAGAATCGCCAGTATGAGGAGACATCTGAATCAAAGGAACAACCCCAACGGATCTCTCCAACGATGGATTCCCTGATGCGAGGATCCAATTGCTGACGCTCGCGGATGAGCCAATCTACCGATGCCACACCCCTTCTGCAACCTCCTCATCAAGCCAAGGATGGTTCACCCCTCTGCTCCTATAAACGGAAACTCCTGTCGCTGGTCATCGTCTCCTGGCAAACTCCCCAAATGCTGATGCTATGAAGAACCCTAATCAGAGCCCTAACCCAGTTAAATAAATAGTTGTTGAATAACTAATGTTCCTATCCTTGTACTTTCGCTTCGACACAGGCTCACCTTAAAACATTACTTAAAACATTTAAGAAAGTACAATTTTTCAGTATCAAAATGAAATTTTTTTTGAAAAATGTGTTCGGAACATTTTGAAGATTTCCACAAAGACCGAAAACAAAAACAAAAACAAACAAAGGAGAGAGGAATCGAAC